AAAGGAAAACACCCAGACCTTTAAACAATCTCTAATTCTTGGGATTAAGAATAACAATATGTGGCACTGGTTAAAGGGGAACCATACCAGATTTGGATAAGGAATGCGATTTCAATCTGGATTTTCATAAAATAGCAACAGCAAAAGCTAACCTGAATTCAGGGAACCAACTAGTCTCATGTACTCTTTGTGGAAATATATATTATTATATCACCTGGAGAAATAAACTTACCATTGTGTATTGAATGCCTTTTAAAAAATGGATACCTTCTAAGCATCTGATTATACATCCTATAATTGGAAATGATAAGTAATAATCAATATGGTCTTGAATCACAAAACTATTAATAATACTCAAATGCAGAACATACAAAGGTTTCTCAAAACTTAACCATAAGAAAACTACCCCATAAAAATGTGAGCACAAAAAATGCGTATATGTCAAATAAGCACAAAGAGATGATCGTGTTCATTAGTCACTGAGTGATGCAAATTAAAAGTTCTGCATAGAAATGACATTTCTATGCACCCATATTTTCTGATATGAAGACTATCAAATAAATACAAAAATAAAATTAATGGTGTCTGGCAGAGACAGAGATATGGAGCAACTTGACCATTCACACATTGCTGGGGCTAATACAAAAATATACAACCATTTTAGAAAATAATTTCAAGTGCCTTCACAAGCTAAATGTCAGCATGTAATACCGCTCAGTAATCCTGCTCCTACATATTTACTCAAGTGAAATAAAAACTTATGTTCACAGAAAACAACTATGATCATGTTGATAGAAGTTTTATTTGTAATTTTCAAAAGCTGGGAAAAACTGAATTGTTCTTTGATTGGTGAATACATAAAACCCAAACAAAACCATGATATTTTACACTCATACAAATGGATTACTTAACAAGAAAAAGGAACAAACTCCTCATAAACCCAGCAAAACTGAGTAATCTCTAATGCATTATGTAAGTGAAAGAAGCAGATTCAAAAGGCTACATACTGTGTGATTTCATTTACAGGATACTCTCAAAAAGGGAAAAGTATAAGGAAAGAAAACAAATTATTGGATGCTAGGAACTGAGAATGAGGGTGAGGGCACTGGGGAAGGGTTGTATTAATTATTAATTGCTCTGTAACACATTAGGAACTTAAACAAGAAGCATTTATTATCTCATAGTGTCTAGTGGGTCAGAAATCGGAGCATGGTCAGGAGTCCTTAAACTTTTTAAACAGGGGGCCAGTTCACTGTCCTTCAGAACATTGGAGGGCCGGACTATAGTTTAAAAGGACAGGCAGCGGCTAAGCAGGACACGCAGCAGCACCAAAAACATCAGCAGGCCAGATAAATGTCCTTGGCAGGCCTCAGGTGGCCTGTGGGCCATAGTTTGAGGACGCCTGGTAGACGGATGCCTCTGGCTCCAGCTCTTACACAAGGCTGCAGTTAATCAATTCAGCGATTGTCATCAGATACAGTATCATCTGAAGGCTCAACTGGGAAGGCTCTTTTACCAGACTCAGATGTATGTATGGTTGGTGGTAGGATTTAGTTCTTTGTGAGGCTTAGACTGAGGTGTTTAACTTCTTACTGGCTGGTTAGACAAAGGCCTTCCCAGTTCCCTGTTTTACATACTATGCACTTCTCCAGAGGGCAGCTTATAACATGGCAGCCAACCTTTTTCAAACAGAGCATGTGAAAACATTAAAAAAAAAAAAAAAGAAAAGAAAAAGAAAAGCTCGGAGGGTACAAGTTACTGTCTTTTATAATCTACTATCAAATATCAGAAGTAAAATTTCATTACATTTGCAAAACTTCTATTTACTACAAGGAAGTCACCAAGTCTAGTTCATACTCAAATGAAAGGGATTGTAAATGCTATGAATCCAAGTAGACAGGTACCATGGGAGGCTATCATAGAGGCTACCACACTGAGTCAGCTTTCTATATCCTAGTTCATATTTCTCCCACATTTAAAAGACACTCACCTTTCCTTGGGTTCCCAGTGTTTTCTTCTCTTGCCTTATCAACTCAGAGCCCCAAATCTAATCATCTGTAGCAGAATCTGCCTAAGGGGATGTGGAAGATCTTGGGGTAATGAAAATCTTCTGTACCTGGATGTGGTAGTGATTACATAGCTATATTTATTTGTTAAAAAATCAGACAGTAGGGCACTAAACAGAATAGATTTTACTATATGGAAGATATACCCTCATTTAAAAAAATTAAAATGAATAAACTCAACGCACACACATATGCACTCACACACATCCACTGACACACACACAAATACACATATTACATTAAATTTTGGCTAGATAAGTGAAATTATTGGCCTATACATTAAAAGTATATTCATACAGATGTACATTTTAACACTAGAAAGCAGCACATTTTCAATTATACAGTTGAAAAGCTATAATAATGTACTATATATATAATCTATAATTTGCATACAGAAAAAATAATTGTTATTGAACAGAATCAATAATTATATTATCTTTCATTGAAAGAAGCTTGATTCCTAACAAAATCTTTCTTTTCTCTTCATTATTTGTTTTCATTCCTTAGAACAGATAATTCATCAATTAAATATTAGGGAAAGGGAACATATAAATGCACTAGTAACTTTTTCTCATTTCCTTCACAAAAAGACTATTAAACTAATTGTCTGTGAAATGCATTTTTATAACCACTTTTGAAAAGAATTTACTTGTAATAAGCTGGATGTAGACTGTGAAAAAACATCCAGTATCCTTCTTTTTTTTCCCCATTCTGAAAAGTGGCCGAGGTGAGCCGCTGGATCCTGTTACTGTGCCCTGTTTACACAGCTGTACTTCATTGAATGAAGGCTTGTGTTACACACAGTTTGTGATAGGAAGTAAATGCTTTTAAAACAACTAAAGAGACAGATCTTTAACCTCTCCCTTTGTGGATTCTTTGTCCACAATTTAGCTTCTGTGCATGTTACAAGGAAGTAGCTCCGATAGATACGTGTATTACTACTCACTAATTAAGCCTCATCTGATCAGGTCATCACCTTGTGAACTCAACTTCTTTATTCATTAGGATAAGTTTTTAAAAACAAATCTCAAAACATCCAAAAATAGGGACCAGATATTGATGTATAATAAAGGTTTCTAAGTCATACGTTGTAAAATGTTCAATAATGGGTGGGTTCTAAAGGGAAAATTGTGTTTAGATCTTTTCAAAGGTGCTCTATCTATAAGCAGTTTAAACAGTTTAGCTAGTCATCAAATTATTGCCTGTTAATTAGCTTCTACACAACATCTGAAAGTATAAAGCAGCACAGACCACAGGGGTCTTTGTGTATTTCTTACAAATAGCTATGTAGGCTGCTCAATTAACTGGAGATTTAGTCTCTATGCTATTTCAGAGATTATGGCCGGATAATTTTAGAGATCATTATGGTATTGAAGTAGTTCTCATCTGTCTAAGAACAATTTCCTTAATTGCTAGCATAGAAACACAGATTAAAATATCAACTGATCAAGATCTAAGTTTCATACCCACTGATAGTTTATGACAATACTTTCCCGACTTGAAAATACATGTATGTGCCTTTCATAGAAATTGCATGTATTATTTATTCATAATTGGTCTATCTATTCATAATCCTGTTCATAGTCTTCTTTAAACAGAATTCATTCTTTTTATAACTATGAGCTATCATTTGTCTACAAGGACTCTTTTGCAAATTTTATTTTGTAATTTCCTGCACAGAATATCCAGAAAACTTTTCTAAAGAAGTTGTGAATAAGTTCACTCAGATTGAGTATCTACCTATCCATGATTTTCATAAAGGTGTCTAGCAGATTATCCTGCTTTTTACCACGTATTTTAACTGTTAGTCAAAGGCAATGCGAAAACCATTAAGCTGATATTTGCAGACTTAGTCCACTGTCCAGTTCCCCTACATTCAAGCCTGAAAGATCTAATTTCTAATATGTATTGCCAAGGATGTGGTAATTATATTACTTACGTCCATCTCCTGAATTTATAGCAAAAGCATAGTTTAGCTACAAACGTATATTTTCTAACTGAATAGAATATAATGTGGTAGTTTGATTTGTAATTCTGTTAGGAAATGAAAAAAATAAACAGAATGAAAAAAAATCACCAGAATAAAAATGACTTGGACTCTTCTGTTCCATCTACTTAGGGGTCATTACAGTGTCATATTTTTTGTAAGTAAAAAAGAAAATACTCTCTTTTTGGGTTGCAAGATGAAGTACAAGGCAGTCGGAGGGCCATATATGCAAAGCTTTATGAAAATAAACCACCTTTATTTCCTTCTTTATTATGATCACAAATACAAGTTATGTGCGAAAATCTAGAAATTGCCTAGCATTTTGGTAAGGGAGGGAAAGAATCATATGTAAATACTAGGTAATATATATCTGAAAATAAAAATAAAACATTAAGTCTTAGGACAAAATGTTTCTATGTTTTTGCTTCTTATTTCAACAGACAGATGTTGAGACTTTCCAAAAACCCATCAGGAAATAATATTATGTGATATTTCATTCCAAAATTTATGTACCAATTTCTCCCATCAGAGAATTCATCTTTAATTAAGAATATGTTATCACATACTGAAAAATCATCACTACCCATTGACTGTATTGTTATAACATTACCAGCTAGTTTTTATTATCTGTCATATTATAACTAATGTTAGCAAAATGTTAACTTTGGATGTCATTTCAGTTCACTGGAAGCATTTAATTATACATGTACCATATACACCATATGTATTTATTGACTACGCTTTTATTTTTATTTATTTATAATTTATGTGCTCCCTGGTTGTGAAATGATTTCAGGCAGCTTATTTTAATTACAATTATATTGGCCAGCTTTTTCATAGATGTTCCAGATTTTCCTCCTCACTGAATACCACAGGACACAGAACTGAAAATGTTAAGTTGCTTTGTTCTTATTCTCATGGCTCTTTTCAAATTATGTGTTTTGCAGAGATTAATTTTATGTGGGCTGGACACCAAACACATCATAGTTCTGAAGACTATAACTTATCCACAGCACTGAGACAATCTGTCTTGCAGATATATACTTCCTGGGTAAGTTGCATGAAATGGAATAAATCTGACATTAATCCTTTTTTTAATACATTATTTTAAGTCTCAGCTGTTTGTATTTCTTCCAGTAAAAAAAAAAAAAAAGAATAAGCTCCCAAGTAGAAGCTACTTGAATCTTGTGCTGTTTGTTATCATATTAGATTAAGTAGACTAATACTCAACAAAATGTTTAGCTCTAAAATATTCTTACACAAGAAAATGGCAAGAATAATAAGTATCAGAAATAGTCTTTATTTCTAAGTTTCTTCTGACTCACTGGGCAACCCCAATCTATATGGTAACATCATTTTTCTATAATCACTCTTGCTTAGCTTTTCTTGTTTATTTTTTTAACTGAAATTTATGTTGAACAGCGAGTTAAAAAGTCAGTTACTGGTGTGTACAAGTGATTTACACTCGCTATGGAAATTCAAAATCAATGAGCTACTTATTAACTATAAATTATAATACTCAAACATTTGCATGATTCTATGTATCTTGCGAGGTATTTCTATGAGATACAATTTAATCAGAACTTTCTATGTGTCAATTTTCTGAGAAAGACCTCTTTGTATATTAACAGAGGAACTATTATAACTTTTTTTTTAACAATAATACAACTGAGTCTACATTTCAATCACACATCTCATAAAGGGAAGAGTAGAACTGGAACCCAAACAGCTGGGCCCCTGAAGCCCAGGTCTTAACCTCTGTGCTCCAAATCCTCCTCTACATTCCTCCATATGGATGTTTACTTATCTCCTTTGATCCTCATAAAAAGCCCATGGTTCTCTAGATGAAGTATTATCATTATTAGAGAACTAACAATCAGTGAGGTTAATTACATAGCTAGTAAGTGACAAAGCCAAGTACTGGAAACCAGATGTCTTATGACCAGTAGAAAAATATACTACCACATATGCTAATTTAAACAGCAGCATAGGCAAATAAATGTAGAAGCCAGTGATGGTACTAGTGCATTTATTAGGAATGAACCTTAATAGAGATCCACCTCCAAATTCTAACAAAAAATATGTATGTTAAAGTTTGTAATCCTTTACTGGGATTACCATGAGATGATACTGTGAACTGGATGGCTTAGAGAAACCTAAATTTACATCTCACAGTTCTGAAGGCCAGAAGTCAAAATCAAGGTGTTGCCCAAAGGGCAATGCTCCTCTGAAGGCTTTAGGAAAGCATTCGTTCTCGTCCTCCCTCCTAGGGTCTGGTTTTTCCTGGTTTTATGACACTGTAACTCTCATCTTCACATGGCATTCTTCCTGTTTCTTTGCCCAGGTTTCTCTTTTTATAGAGGCTACCTGTCACATTGGATAAGGGCCCTCCTTACTCTAGAATGACTTTATTTCAACTAATTACTCCTGCCATGACCCCTATATCCAAATAAGGTCATACATTGGGCTATTAGGGGCTAAGATTTTAGCATGTGATTTGGAGTAGGGAGGAAAGAATTCAATCCTTAATAGTTCTAATCAATGTGAAAAGTTCTAATCATATGTGGAAAAGAAATATGTGTTTTCATCTCTGATAGTTTGTACTGTAAGAGTGGAAACTGCAGAAAAAAATTCTGCCTGTTTTACAGTGTGTAGTTCAATACTGGACTAAGGCTTTGGTATATGCATATGTGATCACTACGAAAGTTTCAAGATGACTGTGTTGTGGGCCATTATGTCACACCCAAGAAACACAATCGACAGCATCCTTTCTGATTCACCTGTGCAAGTTTCAACTCTCTTGACTTATTGGTGATGCTGGGAGGGTTTCATATATCTGTATCTGCACAGATTTTCTGTTTTTTGCATTTTGTGTACCTCAAAATTTTCATAATTACCCACATAGTAAGAGGAAGGAAGAACAGAGCCCAGGATAGAGGAAAGGGACTCTGTCCATCCTTCCTTTTTAAGAAAGAGCTGCATTAATACAACCCTTTGACATCCTGTATAAAAGAAGATAAACATATAGATGATTAAAATAATAATCTCAAGAGTCCTTACTCTCTTCTGAATTACACACTTCTCTTTGATTAAAGATACTTCAAATCTCTAGTAGTTGAATTTTGAGAGAGAACATGTCCAGGAAAGGATGCAGCTATATTTCAAGTTACTCTAGAGAAATCAGTGAAGTTAGAGAATTAATTATCTGAGGAATTACCAAAGGAAAACTTTACCGGTGCGCAAATCAGTTCATAATTAGAAGAAATCTTAGGGATCATATACTTAAATCATCCATTTTAAAGGCTACAAAAATGAATCTCAGAGGATCTCACCACGTAAGACAGTATTAAACACGACGAGATCAGGGCTCTATCCAAACCCCTGACTGCAGTTTTTTGTAATCTTCACCCTGCCTTCCCTTGTGTCCTTCCTCAATGAAACCAGCACGTCCAAGGTTACAGACCAGGGAAAATCTACATGAAGGCACGTTCACACCTATCTCATTACCAGAGTCATTTCCCTTTACAACATCATGCCACTTTTTCAGGGAGACACAGTCAAAAATGGACTGAATCAAAAATGAGCCTTGGGAATTCGTGGCAAACGGCTCAACGTTTCAGATGGGGAGACGAGGAAACTTCCCAAGGAGGTAAATGAAAGTTAGAGATTATAAGTGAACCAGGATTCTTAACTAGGACTTCTACGTGCCTTAGAAGATAGGAGAGATGACTTTAAGGATCTGTGGGGGGTAACAGTCTGTAAAAGGTCATTCTAAACATCAAAATCAGGGAGACAACAGGCCCCTTCACTTTCTTCAAGTTGTTTATAAGATTCTCCTCACCAGTATTTTTACAGAAGGTCTATGATTTCGCTGTTGCCAATGTAACAATATATTTTAGAATGAACAATCAATGCTACCAAAAAGAAAATTGACTTGTGAAATGAAAAGTAAAAACGAGCCCAGTGTGTTTCTTCTGTGTTACTATGAAAACAAGGGCAGTTGCCCATTCATTTAAAGAAGTGAATGATCTAAAATTCAGCTTTTCAGAATTTCTGACTGTATTACTTGCATTTTAAGCCAATTTTCAGCTTATCATCACCTAGACAAAAAGAGCTGCAAACCTACAAAAACAGCTGCTGGTTTAAGTGAGACTAATACTAAATCATGTGATATATGGTTTGGTGCACCCCTTCAGTCTTTGATTACACATCTCAGTGTAGTGCCTGAAGGACAGCAGCTTCTCCACTTTGCAGATAATAAAATTGGTTTAACCCCCTAGATGTTATATAATACATAACAGTGTCTGGATTAACATTTCTGATTTTTCCAACTTTATCAACAAACTACCTAAGTGCTACAAATTTTATATTAAAAACATAGCTACAGAAGACTTCAAAAAATAAAAGAATGGAGTGTGTCAAAGGAATAGTACCAATCTGAAAGAGCCCCCAATGCCCAAATCTGGAATAATTTTAAAATAAAATATGTAATGTAATAGGGAGTTATTACCAAAACTAGGAAATAAATATCTTTGAGAGCAGTTTATACTGATATAATGGTTGAAAATATATATGTAAATATATATACACACATATATATAGTCTTTATATAAACATATAAGAACAATTAAATGGGAGACAAATTCTCTTAGAGAATTTCAAATAATACATAGAGATACCATGCCCTGCAGTAAATGGAGCTTAATTATCCACCACCCGCCCTTTGAGTGTGGACAGAGATTGGAAAAGAGACAACTTTAGAGTGAAGAACTTGGCAAACACTGTCTCAGATCAGGGTTAACCTCACCAGTGATAAGTCATGTTGATGACACATGATGAGAATGGTCCTTCACCCCTACATCCCTGTGGTCTTCATCTCCCAAGCTCATAACTCAATTCAACCATGAGAAAAGACATGTGTCAAACCCAAATTGGGGGACAATTTCCAAAAACCTAATCAGTAATTCTCAAAACTACAAAGGTCACAACAGACAGAACACAGGAGAAATTGTTATAGATCAGAGGAGGCTAATAAATATAAAGATTAAATATGTGCTGCATGCTGGATGAAATTCTGAAAGAGAAAGGGGTATTAGGAGGGAAAAAAACAGGTGAAAAATAAACAAAATGTAAATTTTAGTTAATATCAATGCACAACTGTGGATTTTTTCACAGTGGACAGTGCAGCATAGCAATATTAACAATAGGTGAAGGTATATTCCAACACTCTGAGTCATCTTGGCAACCTTCTGAAAGTATTAAACTGTTATAAAACCAATAGCTTATCAGAAATACAACTATGGGCTCAGTGCTATGGCTCAAGTGGCTAAGGTGCCAGCCACATACACCTAAGGTGGCAGGTTCGAATCCAGCCTGGGCCTGCCAAACAACAATGATGGCTGCAACCAAAAAATAGCCAGGCGTTGTGGCAGGCACCTGTGGTCCCAGCTACTTGGGAGGCAGAGGCAGGAGACTCGCTTGAGCCCAGGAGTTGGAGGTTGCTGTGTGCAGTGATGTCACAGCACTCTACCCAGGGGGATAGCTTGAGGTTCTGTCTCAAAAAAAAAAAAAAAAAGAGAGAAAAAATACAACTATGTGTACATAGGTACATTTTCATGCCCAGAACCACTATAGATTATGTATCTACTTTAGAAAAAAATTAGAAGGCGCCATCAACAACAGACATTGATTCTTAGAAACCGTAGGGCAGGGGTCCTCAAACTTTTTAAACAGGAAACCCTAGTGAACCCCAGTTCGCTGTCCCTCAGACCATTGGAGGGCTGAACTGCGTGCCCCGGGAGGAGTCAGCTGCTAAGCAGGACAGGCAGCAGCAGCGGCAAAAACACCCAGTGGACTGGATAAATGTCCTGGGCGGGCTGCATGTGGCCCGCGGGCCATAGTTTGAGGACATCTGCCCCAGAGTATCATAAGGAACAATGAATGTATCAGCCAATGCAGTTTTCACTTTCCCGTTGTTTTGAAGAAACTCCCCATTTTCCCATTCTTAATCTCTTAACCTCTCAATCAATCCCTCACGCACTGTTCCCATTA